AGACCTACGTCTAAGGGTAATATATAGCCTAGATACTTTATTATAATATATTATAAATATGTTAAGAAGCTATTATACCTAGTTACTTTCTTCTTCCCTATGCTTAAAGTTTCCTATAGTAATACACTCTAGATTTCCTATAGATCTATATACTCTTTTAGCGTAATTTTGTTATATATATATAAGCGTAGGTTATCTTAAAGATATTTATAGTACTTTATTCCTATATACTTATATTTCTATCTACGCCTATATACATTTAGGTAAGGACTAAATATTAGTTAGTTAGAGGAAATAGCTAACTTAGAATATTAGAACTATAATATAGTTAGAACGTGTTAAGAATATATTTATAGTGTCTTATATTAAGTGCCCGCTTTAGTATAGCCTTCTTAGATATTAGTTCCCTAAATATAAGTTAAGCAAGGCGTATATAGTACGCATAGCCTTTCTCTAGGCTTATAGGATACTATAGAATAGTAGAGAGCTATATAATAGTCTTAGCCTTAAGGGTGTTGCCCTTACTATTTCCCCTAGATAAATAGATACAATCCTATATTAACGTGTTATAAATATATTCTTAATATATTTATAAATAGAATAAACCCTTAGAATAGGTGTTAGAGACTAAATATCCTCCTCTATAGTATCTTCTTTAATTATAATAGTCTTAACTAGATTACTAAGGGTAAAGTCTAGTTTAAGATTAAGCACCTCTAGCTTATTAAGTGCTAAATTATAGAGGAAGAATAAGTTATCTATAAGATAGATATTAAAGAATATAATATATTATAAATGTGTTACAAACGTGTTTCTGCATAATTAATATTGTGTGTGTAAAATAAGTGTACTAGGCTATAGACCCCTATATAGTAGGGTCTGGTTAATCTATAGATTATGACTTTGCGTTAGTCTATAGACGGACCCATTTTTCCTATGGTTAGTTAACATGCTGCCTTGGTGAGGCGGCCGCTAGGGGCGGATAACGTAGGACTACACTAGTAACGTAATCCACCACTAAGCGCCCACCCCCACTGAGCGCCCACTAACACCAAAATCACCAAATTTTTAACACCAAATTTCTTAATAACCATAGCACCTATTAACAACGCGCTTATAGCAATTAAATCCTTAACTCTTAGAGAAGATTTTACATACTTAGAAATAGTAGAAAAGTATAGTTACTTATAGTTAACCTTGTCTAGACGCTACTAGAAAATTTAGTAGGCGCGTACTACTACTCTACTAAATAGTTAAATACTTAATACTATATAAGAAAGTAAGCTTATAGAGTATATTAAAGAGCTTTATAGGTAAGGATTACCCCCTATATAAACTATTATTTAAAATTTTATAACTAAAATAATAAGGAATCTAGTAGGTAAAAATTAGGTATAGCGCTTTATTAACTACTATAATATTAATCTTATCTTCTATTAGGCTACTAGGCTTAATTATAACTACTTTAAAGCTAATTCTACCTTTAAGTATAGCTTATACTTTAAGCTTTTATACTAAAAAATAGAGTAATATAATATTAAGAGTTAGTATATTTATAATATAGATAAGAAGGGTTTTCTTATTAGAGTACTATTAAAAACTAAATATATATTTAATAAGAGCGCTTATAAGCAGAGAAAGATTAGAGCTATACTCTAGGATAGTAATAGGGAGTGGATTACTACTATAGCTTGCATATGCGCTAATAGTACTGCTCTTACCTCTACCCTTATTTATTAGTCCTAATCTAGAGCTCTATAGGATACCTAGTTATAAGATTTTAACCTATTATAATACTAAGCTTTCTTTATAGGATTACTAAGTGGGTAGATAAGCCACACCCTAGGGGTATCCTAGCTTAAGGAGGTGTTTAATTACAAGACAAAAGCTAAAGCTTATACTTTATACTAGCTTCTTATCCTTAATAGCTATAGATCTTATATAATAATAGAGTTTATTAAGTACTATAATAAATATAAGATCCTACTTATAATATATCCCCCTTATAGCACTTACACCCTTTAGCTACTTAATATTATAGTATTTGCTCCCTTTGTAGCTTTATATAAAGCTTAACTATCTAGTTTTCTAGATAGCTCCTAAGGGCTTATAAGTATTACTAAGAAGGATTTCTACTAGTTATTTAATACTATATAGAGCAATACCTTTAAGGAAAAGCTAATATTAATAGCTTTTAAAGTAATAGGTATCTTACTACTTAACCCTAATATTATCCTTTTAAGGTTTAAAGTACCTATAAATAATAGTAACTAGCCTTCTTTAAGTAATAGTATAACCTTAATATTAAGTGCAAGTAATTAGAGAAAGATAGAGTAGTTACTCTATAATACTATAATTAATATCTATAATAAATAGTTAAAGAAGCTTAGCTAGATAATCTATACTATATTAGTAAGAAATACTCTACTTAACTACAAAAATAAACACCTAAGGGCTGCCCTAGCTAATAAGAAGAAGCGTAGGAAGCGTGGTAAACCTCTATTATTACCCCCTAATAATAATTATAGTAGTAGTGCCTAATTTATTTTACTATTAAAGGTAGAGTAAGTATTTAAGCTCTAGAAGTAAAAGAACCTTAAAGAATAGGAGCTATAACACTAAAAAAGTAAGGTAATTAAGCTTTATAAGTAATAGAAGCTTGCTAAAGCTTAACTTATAGAGGAGTGTTACCTAAATTAAGTAATTACTAAGAAGGAGTAGGAGGAGAAAGCTACCTAAAAAGCTACTACACGTAATAAGTAGAAAACTACTAAGCAACTAGAAAAGTAACTCTAAAATAATATTAAAACGTCCTAAATAGGTAAGAGGTAAATCCTTAAGCCTCCTACTATTATACTAGCTAAGGTGGTTAATAAGGAGCTAGTAGAAGAGGATATAGTAGTAGAGGCAACTTTATAGCGTGGGCGCCTAATTAGACCCCCTAAAAAGCTGCTTACATAATCTAAAATATTTAATCTACTCTAATAGATCTAATAATCGCGACTCTAAGAAATCTTGTAATAATAGCTATTGTGGGTGGCGCAATATCCTCATTTAGTGGGTGGTGGATTTTGGTGTTGGTGGGCGCTCGGTGGGGGTGGGCGCTCGGTGGTGGATCACGTTACAAATGAGGTCTAGAAAGCCTCATCATTGCGGTTGAGGGCTTCCGAGAACGGAGCAGCTTCACAACGTACATCGACTCCTCTGCTTCTACACAATGCAAAGCTTTTGAGCTTGTTCAGCTCATGAACCAGTTATTTCTCTTTTCCAATCTGCCCAGATGCTTCGCTCTCCAAATTGTCCATGACTTTCGAGCGGATGCCTACGATATCAAACCGAAGGTTCCACGAGCAACCCCGTCTCAACACTGAAGTCGACAAGTCGTTGATGAGGAGAGAGAGAACTGGTTGATTATATCGAAAGAAAATCGGTTGAAAGCGCTCACATGTGGTCTCTTCACAATTTTTAGTTCTTATGCTTGTCTAACTGCTTGGAAGAATTACCAAATATATCTATGGTGTCTGTCGAGGTCAATCATATTCCCAGAGTTGTCGGAACGAAGACAGAATTATATAAATGGCCATAGTTGGAAGTTTACAAGTGGAGGCATTGGACCCATCCTGCGATCTTGTCACGTACCAGTGGTTGAGTTGACAATGCCTAGCAATGGGGAAGGGGTCAGTCAGCAACCGGGATGGCTGACCACCATACCACCTGACCAATGCTGAAAGGCTAAAAACACCTACTTAGAAGGTCACAAAAGACTTGAGTTAGGTTATCAGAATGGAGTGGATCTGATTCTTGCAACAGCCATATGCCTTGGCACACACATTGGTGTTCACTTTGCGTCGTTGAGCGGTTATGATCCAAGGACAAAATTGGCTGCAGCTGCATCTTACCACGCCACGTGCTAAGTAATCACGTTTTCGTATTGATTCATCTATGGCCCAAAAATTCTGCTTCTTAGTTAGCTCACGATCATCAGGCCATAGGGTGTATGCGAGCCCCATGTGCGGTATAATTGCTGCTGCAGGAGCAATATGTGAGGAGAGCCTGATGAGTTCAGGTCGGACCTGGGGAGCCGAGCCCGCCTTGTACATGCACCATCAATCCTTGCCATTTCAATTAAAGAGCCATGCAGCGACTTATAGACGTACCAAAGTTTCGATCCAGTCATGGGGCTTCGCATAACACAGTGATGGCGAGTGTGCTGCACAATACCAACAGCGGGTCATAGAGCATCAAATCCAAACCTACGATGACATATAGGTGCTGTTTGCCGCTCACGTTACAGCGCGGCTAGTATTGTTCTATTTTGTGTTCACCACGAGCAATACTAGAGACTACTTTTTCACAATCTCCAAACTGCGTCACAGTGTATCTTCGAAGCTTGAACGAAAAAGGGTGAATTCTTTTTCAACATCACAGCGCAAGTGCAATGACATTGGAGATAACAGGAACATCGACCTGGTTGACAGACCAAGGCATCCTTCAACAGTTGATCAGAATTGCCATGTCTGGAGCCTCCCCTCCCCCCAAAAAAGAAAGTCCCTTACCCCTTGACTCTTGACCATGCTGAAAATGATGAATATCGCTCAGCTCGTCAAAGTGCGACTTTGAGCTATGTCACGACCCGGTCGGATCCTCATCAACCAATCGCATGATACCCACACACCAGACTCCTCGTTTCTGGTGCGCATATTTATGAATGCGATGAAAGATGGCTTAGATAGGTCATTACGGATGTCGATTCGTGAAAAGTATTGCATCATGATTGTCTTTGATATATATCTGCTTTCGTCCATGCAAGGATAGCGTCCGCTAAATTGCAATTACAATTCTCAGGTGAGATTACCAGGACTATTCCGGGAGTCCCATGTCTAGTAGCTGTCAGGCCGGTCACTGTTCAGAGTCATCACAAAAGAGGTTCCTGGGTTTATCTACTCATTGATGTCCCACCGTCGACGTATCGCATTTGAGCTAAATCTTGATGATGAAAAATGTCATCAGCATTTCTTTCACTGGAAAGAAAGACCGGAGCAGCAGCAATGATAACTTGTGAGTTGACTAAAGATTCGTCTTGGGTGGTTCAGGGTAGAAGCAAAAAATGTGCTTATCTCATGAGTCTCCATGAATGAATATCCCTGGCCGCAGCGAATGCGTTTTGGGGCGGTTGCCTGCACTGAAGAGCAGCCAAGTTGTCAGGTAGAGCTTCGAGTGAGAACGACACGCTCAGAGATTCCTTTAGTGGATCTTTCCGTTTCCCTATTACCCCTCCAGTTACACATATCAGTAAACAACCGGTATAGATTTCTCAAAGGGGCCTGTATGTGCAAGGTAATCAGAATAGGAGATGCATATTGCCTGCTAAAAAACTAGGGAATTCCCTCGTTCCGGATTTATCGACTTTGGCGTGTTCTTCAGTGTGCTGGAAGTGGAACGGAAGAAGTGAAGCACAGCATCGAGGCGACGAATTCGGAATCTGGAAGCTTCAGCAATGTTTTCAAGTGCTGGCGCCATTCGCTTCCAGAGGACTGTCACGTAGAATGAACGAGACACACCTTCTAAGCCGTGAAGCCCTGGATTCAATGTTATAACACTGCTATAGTATAGTGAGAAGTGATGCATGCTAGGCTTTCTCCCCAGATTCGCCTTGGCATAGCGACCTTGGCAGCTGCAGGCAAGCAACCTTGCTTACCATGTTATGGAATAATAACCTGCATTACCGATATGCTGCTAAACAGCATTATCATGCAGAGATCCTTTGGATGCGCGGTTTCCACGTAAGCGGGCGATATTTCAAGGCACCAAGCCGTGTCATATGTTTACAAGCCCAAGTCAACGGAAAGATGGAAATAATGATGAAGTCTCTGGAAGCAGATCTACAATCTATCTCCGTCGAGATTACTATGATACAGCGGAAGCCTGCTACTTCAAGGAAGGACCCTGGGAAGAGCTGGGAAGAACAGGGATCAGCAGCCTGGCAGCGGCTGGCGGGTCGTCCACCTGGAGTGCAGGATGACCGGCAGCTGTGGCGGGTAGCACTGTAAGGATGCATCGCTAAGCAGGGATGTCGCTACTGGGAACCGGCAACAATCGCGTAGAGCAGAGTCTGGCGTTGGGTGGAGTCTGGATACTGCTGACGGGTACGCTACAGTGACGGACAGCGGCCGCCAATCAGTACTCGGGCTTTTACTGATCGCTCAGCAACGGGCTTAGAAGTGGTAAGTGGGTCTTGGTACAAGCTGGTACTTGTTGAGCGGCATCGGTACGCCGCTGCTCTTAGAAGTCCCGCATATAGACTGGGGTGGCACCGATCACCAATATCGTTTTTGATTGCAAGTCTAACCTGCGAGGAGCGTTTTTGGGATACGTCCGTTCAAGCTCGCAGCACAGACGATCCAAAGTCCGTATGGACAATGCTTAACGTGAATAGTTGGTGTGCAGCAAGATCCTGGTCCATGCAGGGGTGAATGCTCAAACTGGTGACTGAGGGGAGCGGAGGGTGACTAGAACCACATTGCCAGCTACAATAGATGCACGCACAAACAAGCGTGCCCTGTCGACCATCTCGTTTGCAGCGTGGCCAGAGTTCGCTCAGACGCACTGTGTAGCTGGACCCGGAGGAAGGATTAGGTCTGCCCATGCCCTTCGGGTATTGAGCCACCCTGCACCTCGAGGCACTGGACTTACTCTGTTATACCCCACCGTCGTCCACTAACATCCGGCGCTGGGACGGATACAGCAGCGGCAGACTGTTATATTATACCCAGGCACACTGCAGAGGTCAAAAGTTCATAGTGGACGGTCGACTTGCATAGTTTTGGCCCATCTTGATGCTCGCGAACAACATACTCCACCCGAATTCTTCGTTTTGTCCACAACGCCCAAGTTGCAGCCTTCCACGCAGTTGGCCCTTACCTCACCAACTTGCCACACAAAGATTGGTCCTTGTTCTCAGCTCTCTAGTGGTGGAAATCGCGGTGCCAAAAAGCCGCTAAATCGCAGCTATGCTTTCCACAAATCTCCATCAGTACCCCTCGACGTTCAACCATGTCCCCTCGCCAAACATGGTTGAACATCAACACCATCTTGCAGCACAGCATATAGGACCATCACCTCTCGATGGTCTCCCACATTCATCACAATACGCCGCACTTCAATTCCATCAAAATCGGCATGTATTACCGAACGGCAAAGCACAAGTCAAACAGCACCGATTGCCATACACAAGTGGGCCTATAGCCCCCCGTAGCCAGCGCGACATGCTTCACGAGCGATCAGGTCGCGGCAATGCAACATCAGGACCAGTACGACGCAGGATCAGTCGAGCTTGCGATCAATGCAATCAACTACGAACTAAGTATGTGTCAACTGTAATCCAACCGTATGTACTACCGGAACTGATTTTGTGCCCCAAGGTGTGATGGACGCCAGAGTTGTGCACATTGCATAGGTACGTCTTGCGACAAGTTTGTACCTAATGGTACAGACATTCAAAGTGGACACGCAAGCCCTGGTGTAACAGTGATTGGCTCTTAGGCTGACACAGCGATAGAATTTGGGTTGACATGCGAATATATTCGCGAACGGAAAAAGCGTGGGAAAGCATCGAGGAAAGACATTGCCCAGCAGCAGGCTGCCGCAGCGGCAGCAGGATCGCAACCCTCTGAAGAGATTGAAACTCCCCTCTCTTCTGAACAAGCTGCTGAGCGTACTCAGAGTAACAGTCCTAAGCTACCCCAAGGTCAGCGGTCGCTCCCAGAGCTACCTAGTCGCTCTGCTAGCCTGGCGACGCCCAAGCTCGAGATAAACTCTACCCCAATCTATCAGAACCGCACCATGAGTATGGGCATTATCGAAGCTGTACCTGAGCCTGAAATGCATCGCCGAATGGACAGTAGCATGCAACCAATGCATCCAATGCAACCACCACGCATTCAGACTCAAGGTCTGACCATGCACAATTCCATGCCTGAGTACACAACAATGGACGAGTACCATCGCAACATTATCTATCAGTCACCTCTTCAGATGATGCAGCCAGCTATGGCTCCAGGAATGCAGTCCATTGTTTCTTCCCACGGCCATGGACTTGAATATTCCGACAGCCCTTACAGCATGATGAGCCCACAAAGCGCACATGCTGCGCCCTCAAATCCATACAGACTACCGGAAGAGCAACCCAACATGGGCTATGTGGCTAATTCGCCCGCCATTGGATCTCCAGATTGGATGCTGCCGTCACCATCCACGACAATGTACTCCGGCGCACCACAGCAGACCTCCGCCCAGCAGCTACGATTTCCTGTTCTCCAACCACTAATGCCGCACCTTGCGAACGTCATGCCCATGAATCTAGCATGCGATTTGCTGGAGCTCTACTTCCAAAGCTCATCACCTGCATTCATGCAACCTGTCTCCCCATACGTACTCGGTTACGTTTTTCGAAAGCGCTCCTTCTTGAGACAGAATAACCCACGCGTCTGTAGCCCAGCACTGCTAGCTAGTATGCTTTGGATCGGCTGCTTGACAAGTGAGTCACCGTATCTGTCAGCTTCGCCTTCTGCTCGCAGTCAGCTATCGGAGAAATTGATCAACTTGACTATTAGTCTGTTGAAACCTCTGGTACACCAGACCCCCGGTGACATGGAAAACAGTCCTGCGGCGTATGGAAGTTCCAACAACTCACAAGGCCTGGCCATGGGCGATTTCGGTATGGCCTCGCAAGATTCCGACATCAGTCTACGTATGTCATTCAATTATCTCTACACATAAGTTATTATGCTAATGTTTTGTCTTAGCTGGGGCCCCTGGAGGTCTAGATGATGTAGCGACATATATGCACTTAGCCATTGTGATCTCGGCAAGTGAGTACAAGGCTGCCTCACTTCGATGGTGGAACGCTGCTTGGTCACTAGCGAGGGAACTGAAATTTGGGAAGGAGGTGCCGGTGACACCTCCACCTGAACGGGACAACGATGTAACCGAGGATCTCAATGTCGCGGATATCGATGGGACATATCCCAATGGACCAAACACCCCGGTCGACTTCACAGAGGAGCAACGAGAAGAGCGTAGACGTATCTGGTGGTTATTGTACACTGTGGATCGGTGAGCATTAACCCCTCCCGCTTCATCGCAGTAGAGAGGTCAACAGACGCTGATCAAAGTACAGTCACTTAGCTCTGTGCTACAACAGACCTCTGTCTCTGTTAGATGTTGAATGTTCAGGCCTTCTGCAGCCACTTGACGATAACGTATGGCAATCTGGCGATTTCTTCGAGGACTCCGCTCAATCGTATTCAGATTCCACATTTCGGCGAAGAGGTCCTACCTTTGAGTGCACCGGACACTCCATTTTCGGATTTTTCCTACCTCTCATGACTATCCTCGGAGAAATCATCGATCTCAATTATGCAAGAAACCATCCACGTTTTGGAACAAAGACTGATTGGAATGGCCATGCCCGGGAGATAAGTCAGCAACTACTAGCATACGGCCAGTCCCTACAAGACCTTCGAAATCGCGCAATGGACGAGGCTACGGCCGAAGCACACGAGCCGACGCATCCCAACACTCCCTCTGCTCGATCTGTCAATTCCAGTATATCAAGAGCACAAGAATCATTGATACACGCCAAAATTGTAGAGGCTTATGGCACGCACCTCATGCACACATTGCATATACTGTTAAACGGTAAATGGGACCCGATTTCGCTCCTGGATGACAACGATCTATGGATTTCATCGCAGAGCTTCGTTGATGCCACGACCCATGCTGTATCCGCAGCTGAAGCCCTGAACGAAATACTCGAATACGATCCTGATCTCAGCTTTATGCCCTTCTTCTTTGGTATTTACCTCCTCCAAGGCAGTTTCCTGTTACTCCTGATTGCGGATAAGCTGCAAGGGGAAGCAAACCCAAACATTGTTCGCGCATGTGAGGTCATTGTTCGCGCCCATGAGGCGTGCATCGTCACGCTCAACACCGAATATCAAGTACGTATGTCCCATGACCTAGAAATTGTGCGTAGAGTGTGGAATTTGCATACTAATAGTTCTACAGCGAAATTTTCGCAAAGTCATGCGTTCTGCCCTTCAACAAGTGCGAGGGCGCGGTATGGATGACCATGCCGAAATAGCCCAGCAACGCCGTCGGGAGATGTTGAGCCTCTATCGTTGGAGCGGCGACGGGACTGGTCTTGCACTTTGATTCGATTCGGCTCAGCCTTCCGTGGCATCCCCGTCACCGAGCCGCCCGTTATGCGGCCCCACATGTCTACATAAAAGTACCTGCCTCTATTGCCATGCTATTGTGCATGGCATCGAGGTCAGATTATTCTGATGGTTTTCACATCCATCACTCAAGTGGCTTGCGAAATGTTGTTCACTATCCTACCGCACATGATTATCGTCATCGTAAAAGCCTGTTTTCCATGCTACGTTTCCGGTTTTCTTCCTTTGCTCCGGCCGGTGGACATGATCTGCAAAATGCACGGAACATACTTGGCGTCATCAAGGCAGAGGACTCTGCCCCCTGGAGTTCTCACATGAACACATCCTTGACGTATTTCGCATACCGCATTACACCAACACTGTGGCGCGCTGTTTACATTATGGCTTTATGCTGTCATATTTCTACGGCCCATTTCCTCCTATTTGTATATTACTTGCTTAAAAGCACAGTTGCTCGCGATTTTTTCTTTACAAGGAATGTCTGGACACATTCAGGCGCATTTACCAAACCGCAATTATGATACCCCGCAGTTTTCCCCGGAGCTATTTGGACCAGCCTTGGTGTAGGTTTAATTGTCGTGGTTTTACTACAGTCATACCATAACATAATATAAGGCAATTTCGATATATATATATATGCTCTCGTATATCTGAAGATGACAATACAATCGATCACAACAGCAATGGCAAGTGTCGAGTACTCATAACAAGGCAGTGAGTGGCCCATTATCAATGGCCGCAAACATACAGTAGCAGCGCCTCTGATGGTGTTGTGTAGGTCCTACGTACCTTTTGATCGCCCCATGATACTATTTCTAGAGTCGTGTTTCAGGAAGTATCCCATGCGTTCATGAAACCTTGCGCTTCCTTCGCTGGCTAGTTCTTGAATCACTGTGGTCCATTATTGGGCAGTAAACGCAAACTGACTCGACGAGAACTTCTCAAAAAAGTTTGGGCACGGAAAGGATTTGCCGTATTAGATCAAAGTGGCGAACGATGCGAAGAGAAATGCGTTGGCCGCTGACAACCGTGCCACGACGGCGCCGTCAAGAACATGGGTCAATTGTGACAAAGGATCGAGAATTACTCTTTGTGCGAGCATGTGCAGCAAATAGGTCTGTGTATGACTGTCTCATTGGTGCTCCGCTGTGACGAAATCACAAGCGTATCAGTCCTCTTACGATCCAGACTACGATAAAGCCGAAAGTCGGCAAGACCCTCTAACGTCCTTAGTGTGGGCATAGATCACGATCCTAAGGTATCTGGATGTATCAATGGTGTCGACAATGATAAATTCATACTGCTTGACTACGCCGCAACACTGGCCAGTGGCCACAACTTTCCCAACCGATGTCCATTTTAGACGATGTTATGAGTGTTCTGTAGCAAGGTTACCTCTGTGAACCCAACATCGGGTTGTTATTATTCTCTTGTAACTTTACCAATAGTAGTTGGCGCCTACCATACAAACTCCGCGGGCGCCCTACCCAGTAGCTATCAGGGGCAACGAATATATGCTAAGCGTCTCAACAACGTGTAGCCCTCGTAGCCATTACGGCACACGTGGGCTAGTTGGTCTTGAGTGTTACGCGCGCGGACTGATAAGCACTTCAGAGTGGCTCGCGAGTATACCAGCAGATGCAGATGCAGGGAGTACACACCGATGCTCAAAGAAGAGATGCAGGGAGTGATGCTCAGTCATGCACCCCAGACGTGTTGACTGTGCTTTGCAGGTTTGATTTGGCCAGCGACATGCTCGTACGTCTTACCCTGCAAAACGCATGGCAAATATAGAAGAGAGTGGCTGCTATTCGCGAAATCCATGTGAAATATACGCCTTGGAAGGCCAATTGCTACCTTCTGACCGATGCGCTCGATCAGATTATGCAGAACCTCGTGGACAGATCCGAAACCGGCCCGAGTCGGGAGACAAGCATTTCGCTTCCTACTCTTGACTGCTCCCTCGACCCATCGGTTGGTCATTTGATCTGCATGGGTAGTGGCAAATGCCTGTGCACAGTTATATCTGAAGTCTTAAGAGAGGCAGTGAGACATCAAGGATATGCCAATCTGTGCCTTTTCGAGACGGCATCTACATGAATTAGATCAGTCGCAAGCTCCTTCACATTACTGTAGTTCCAGACCGGCAAGAGCTCCCTTCTCTCCGTATACTGCGACAGGGTTCTATACAAAGTGTAAGGCTGAACAAGATTATGGACAGGTTCAAGGGTGTCACATCATTGCCGTATGGTAGTGACTTCAGCACTACTGAACCCTTTATCGTGACCGAGTCTCTATACCTGTAACGTCCTTTTCCACATCAGTGTAGTTTCTACACTTCAACATATTACACTGTTTATTGCATCAGACGAAACTCAGGAAGTAGACCCGAGCTGTTTACCTAAAGGACCTCACAAGGTCAACTGAGCACTGCCGCACCTGATACACTGCACTAAAGCCTGCACAGGATATTGAGACACCCATGATACACGTTAACCTTTCTCTAGAGACATAGATTATGGGGCTATGGCAACCGTAGACGATGTTCTGTTTCGAGCTCGGACAACACGATTTTGCGGATGAGACAGGAGCCGTCCACTGCTTGTTTGGTCATCGAAGGCAGCCACGAATCAGGAATCACGGCATGATCATGTTGTATAGGCGGGTCTCGAGTTTGAACTCCTCATGACCCTCACTATGTGGCCTGCTGGGCCGGTGTCAATGAGGTACAGCATCAAGTACACCCGAAGTACAAGGCTTTCTCGCCTGTCATATCGTAACTTGTGACTGGTGCTTTGAGGTTAGATGCCCAGCCTTCAGAGAAAAGGGGAAGCGTGTGCATTGCCTCTAGATCGCTGATGGCGTGGGACTGGCCTGAGACTTGCATGTGATATGCAAAATGTTTGCTGCATTAGCTAAGAAGGATCATAGAATCCCACTAGATGCAACCAACGGGGACGAACATGCGATTGTGGTAGCGATTGTGACCCTCGACAGGTGCAGTGTCAAGTAGAGAGGGTCTTCGCTTCACCAGAAACAGAGTAAATTGCACCCTTCAGCATCATATGGACTGTGGGGAACGTGGTAGGTAGGGATCTTTAGCGTGAGAACATGGATCCCCCCTTCAGCGGCAGCGCATGTTCGTACCGACAAGTCTTTCATAACGCTTGCATGCTGTTCGTTCATTTGCTGTTTGCCTCGACAATCACAGGGTAGGGACAACCGTTTTTGGTCATGGTGAGGTTAGAAAGACATGTGGATGGGGGCCATTTCGGGACCGCTGTCAGATTTCAGCCTAATCATCGGTCAAGTCAGTCTTGGTAGAGGGGGCTAGGCCGCAGTTGTCAGCCACGAGGGTATAACAGACCTCTGTTATAGATTATTGTTCAGGTCGAGTAGAACCCGAACCAAATTCGTCGTCGAGATGACGTGAAGCTAAGCGATAGCTCTCGTCCAGCTATGAGGGTGTTCGGGCTGTCGTTTTTCGTATGGCTGCGGCGCCAACTTGAAGGTACAAGAGGCTTGATGTATCATAATCTGCAAGCGACCAGTGTCTAAAGGTGATGGTCTCCGCGGAGACTGGGCTGGTGAACAGGCATAGCGTTGTCTGGTGGGCCGCGATCCTGAAGTCAAGTGTGGGTGGCCTTCACGTGTCCATTCCAATGCTGACACAGTGAAACTTGAAAGTTCCATCAAGACCTCAAGCCGTCAGGATCCTGTTAACTTGTAAGCTGAAGGTTACATTCGGGTACTCCGATGAACTATACCATGTTGGTACTGATCTCCAGTTGGGGGTATCCGATTCCCAGCACGACTCCGCTCCCGACCCCCAGGCCCGCATCTAGCGATCGTGCTCAGGCCTTCTGACAAGTCACTAGGATTCTAAGAGACATGGGTTGATCGAATAGGCTTTCGCAGGCTCGTCAGAGATTAGACTGAAAATCGGAAAGATCCCGCGTGTCTCGCAATGAGGATTTGAGCTCCTGACAACGAACGCCTACACAGTTCTCTTGCGTCGTAGTCAAACCCGGAATTTCGCTCACAGAGGGTAGCCACCAAAAACTAACATTCACTGCGGTACAAGACCGGTTTACAGTAGCCATATTTATCTAAAGTAGACTAAGAAGTAGTTTAGGTGAAGAAGTAAACCTAAATAGGGTTTACTATGGTTCCTATATATTCTACAAAAGTATACTACTTTTATTTCTATTTCTACTAATTTATTAGTATTACCTAGTAATGACTAGTTTCCTACTAACTATTTAAGTATTTTGACCCCCCCTTTCTTTAAACTTCTTTACTAGCTCTACTACCTACGGTATTGAACCGTTAGGTAGTGTAACCCATTGAAACAAGGAGAAGGGTAAGGGGTACGATTTAACAGACGATATCTTATAGTAAATAATATAAATTAACTAATAGATTATGGGAGAAAAGTTATTATTAAAGAGTTAAAGTAAAGTATTAAGGAGTGCTACTATGCTATCCTATAATCCTCTAAGGTTTTATACCTTTTAACCTACCTAATTTAGGCTAAGCCTTACTTTTAGCGATATATACTATACTATAATATAAACCTCCCCTACCTTTAAGCTTAGCCCTATTAAGCTTATATCTTATTCTCCTCCTCTAGCTATGTAAGCCTAGTTCCATACTTATTAAGCTTTAGGTAAGGGGGTTAAGGTTTCTAGAGTCTCTAACCTTAAACCTAAACTAGATATAATAGTCCTACTCTAAGCTCTTTCTAGACTCCCTAGATACCTAGGCCCTAAATACCTAGACCCCTCTACCTTCCTTTCCTTCTTAATTACAGCTAGTTGCCTCTTAATAGTATCTAATATCTTAGACCTTTTAATCTACTTATTATACCTCTACTATTGTCCTACTGTAGCTAGATAGACCCCCTTAGTATTAAAGTAGGATTAGTAAGGTACTCTAGTATCTATTATAGACTAGCCTTAAGAGAGAATGCAATAAGCGTTAATAATAGTATTTAGTATCTTAAAGGAGAGGTAAGCCCTCTACACCTTTTTATAGGTGTGTAGCGTGTTCGCTTAGTATTAGTATTAGACTCTGTCTATCTTATATTAGGCCTAGGCTTAGGTATAAGCCTAAGCCCTTTATATACCCCTAACCTTCCCTATAAGCTATTATAAAATTATATTTTTAGGGGTTTAGGGTTATATCTTTATCCCTTTATAATCTATCTTAGGCTTTATTACTATATATTTAGGTTCTATTATTTTATCTTTATATTTCTTCCTAATTTATAATAGGCCTATATATTAAGTAGTATATATGCGTAGTATCTATATACTTCTTTTAGGACCCTACTATAAAAGTTCTAATATAGCTATCCTACCCTACTATAAATTTCCTAACTTACTTTGTTATACTATAGATTTTCTTAGCTAATTAGTTATCTTCCTACTCTTTTTCTATTAATCTAGCCCCTATTACCTCTATTATATCCTTATCTACTACTACTAGTACTAGTAGTGTAACGACTTAGGTAGGTAGGGCATCTAAAAGGTATCCTATACGACTTAAAGGCATATAGGAGTGCGCGTCTATATAGAAAAGGATAAGATTCCTACACCTATAGGTCTTATACAAAAGGACAAGAAGAACATGCCTATCCTAACTATAGGCGAGCTATTCTCTATATATATTAGTAAGTTAGGCCTTTATTAGGCCTAACTTGGCATAGAATAATAGGCAGGCAATTCTGCCTTATTATTACACTACCCCCTCCTGTAGACAAAGGATAGTCCCTATCCTTAGGATTAGGTTTAGATCCCTTATTAAAGAAAAGCTCTTGCAAAATAAATCCACCTTTACCTCTGCCTTTACCTTTACTTCTTGTTCCTAGGGCACGGACCCCTATCCTTAGCCTGCCTATAACTAGCCCTCTACCTACTAACTTTCTTATTCCTATATCCCTAATTTTTTAATTATTTAACCTAATCTATCTAAAATCTAGTAAGTATTTAATCTATATAATTAAGCAGTTACTAATCTAAATTAGAACCTTTAGCTATGCTAGTACTAGTACTACTAGGAGTCCTCCCTGTCGCTTATCGCGCTCTCTATATAAGGGTAGTTAGGGCTCTAGCTAGGGGCAGGTTTAATAATTTTAATTTTAAGTTAAAGAATTCTAAGAAGTGCTAGTACTATATCTCCTAGAATAAGTATTATAATCTAGTAAGTATCTAAGTCTAATAGGGTTCCTTTACTAATTCTAGCAGATTCCTTCTTTTATTAGCCTAGAGTACTCTGCCCTTAGGGGTGCTCTAGATAAGTACTACAGCCTAGTAGCAAACCCTGCTAAAGGGGATAAGGATAAGGATACTATAGTTGCTTATTAGAAGGATGTTAAATAGTTTAAGGCCGCCATTTAAGAAGCTGCCTAAAACCTTGCTAAGTGCGTTACTATTGCTAATGCTTAGACTAAGGGTATAGAAGCTGCTAAGATCCTTATAGCTATATATTATACTGCCACATCTAATTTACGTTAGCTTTAGAATAGTATTTATAAGATAGTCTTAGTAGTTAGGGAATTAATAAGGGCTATTAATAAACTTAAAGAGGAAACAGCACTAAATTAGGAGGCAACCTTTATAGTGTAGGCTAAGATAAAGGCGCTTAACAAGAAGGCGTCTAAATTAGTTCTAGCTCCCGCACCTACTCTAGCAGCTACTCTAAAACCTGCTGCACTAGTTGTCTAGAAGCTAGCTAAGAATAGTAGTCTAGGCGCTATCTTAGCTAATAGGTTCTAATAGAGAGATGGATATAGAATAAAGAGGTTTCCTAGGGGTAGTGTCCTAGGAACCTTAAAGGTTCTAGGACAGTTCTAAATAGGATATAACAATAAATAGCAACAAGAATAATAGTAATAGATAGTAGTTAATAGCATAATGCGTAGCTTAATAGGATATGAATTAGTTCTAATATTAGGCATAATTATTGTGAAGTAATGTTAGATCCTCTTTGCCTTTTTCCTAGGCTTGAATCTATTTTAGTAAGCTGCGTAGGGGACCTAGCTAATTTAGATACTATTAGTAGAATATTTGTAATTTATAGGGAGCACCTATAAAGTTAGAGGTAGGATACTAAATAGGATTAGGATTGTGTCTAACCTACTTAACCTTATATTTTAGCTTAGATTAATATATTTTGCTAGCTAGGATTTCTTCCACCTCCTATTCCTCTATACCTTGTATAGGGGTACTAGGGGTTTTTAGAGCCTCTTATCTAGGCAATAGGTCTTAGGGATCTTTGTATAGTATATTAGGAGAAAAACGTTATAGATCTTAGAACTAGGTAGTAATTAGAGGTAATACGCGTTTCCTACTTATTCTAATACCTTAAAGGGACCCTCCTAGCGTTTAGATAGTTTTTAGCTAGGTCGTAAAATAGCAAGATTAGTAGTGGATAGATAAATATAGTTACTAACTGTTGCAGGAGGGATATCAACCGGATCA